CACACACACACACACATTCACTTTCTAAAGAACTATGTATTTGGCTTTTTCTTCCTTCTGCTGGGGCAGGTAATGAGACAAAGCTCATGGTCACCGCGGCCTCTGCCTTCAGAGGACCCTCTCCCACTCTGAATGAGGCCAGCTTTGAAGGCAGAGCCACGGGCTCTATTTTCACTTCTCAAACTGTATTTTAGATATTTATAAGTCACTGTCCTATTGACAGCTCCATTCCAGAAAGCAGCAGCCACGGAATGGACATAAACAGAATGGGAAACCACATACACACATACACACACAAGTTAAGAAACATAAAACCAACCATTTGCTGATGGAAGAAAAGTGTTGTCAGCAGCAGACACAAATGGAAGCAGAAAGAAAAGGGGGGAGAGGAAACACTGTTAGTGAAATGCTATGTCTACTTGACACACAAACTAAGCAAATAAGGCTAAATTCCAAGGTGAGTTAATACCTTTGTTGAATCCTCTCAAAAAAGTCTTCAAGAGAACTAAAACTACTCTCATATTTACTCAAGTTTTCCTTTCATTTCAAACTAAAAGATGGTGTTTGTGCCGTTAAGTTCTGAAACCCCACCATAAATCGGAGGCAGTTTTAGAAAATGGTGTTTGCTGCTCGTGTGCAGTTACATCCCAAACATCGAGTAACTTGCCTTCATAAGATCCCAGCTTTATAAGTTTGGTTAATCCTGGTTTTAAGAAGCTGAGCTTTTAAGCACCTGTCTTTTTAAGGTAAAGATGAACATGGAACCCTCTGACATAACAATTCTACTCCTAGGAGTTTATCCTGCAGAAAAACTAGTAAATGTGAAATGAAGATGTCCCAGGTTATTCACTGTAGCATTGTTTATAACAGACCCAAAAGAACAGAAATATCCCAAATATCATGTCTACCAACAGGAGGCTTAATGAACAATTACAGTACATCCATATAATGGAATACTATACAGCTGTACAAAAGAACAAACACAGAGTAGCTTATGTAGTGTGCCACTGTTAGGTGGAAAAGGCACTTTAGCAATGGCTTACAGAAACTTTTTTATTTATAATCTCTGGAAGGCTAAAGATACTAGTAACAGTGATTTCCTGCTTGGGGGGGTGGGAACTGGGAAGAGAAGGAGTTTGGAGGAAGACTTTTTCCTGTATGTATTTTTTATACAGTCTAACGTTTGGACTATATGAATGGATTACCATTTTAAAAGGTTAAGTTACTTTTTACAACTGCAAGAAGCAAAGCAACAGGCAGGCCCCTCACCTGGCTCTCCTGGGCTCGCTCCTCCTCTTCTGCCTGAGTGTCAGTGTTACCTTATGTGAATTAAACAAACAACAATTAGATGGGGGGTGAGAAAATGAACGACAGTCTTTTCTTCCTTATTGCAGCTCAAGAGGCACTGTCAGAAACAAATTCTCGTGTGGACTTTCCCAGGTGTCTCTTAAAGAGCACAGTGCTGAGCTCCTGTCCCTGAGCTGGACCCTGAGGGGTTTGAGGTGCTGCCCCTGTCCCCTCGGGTGGTCTCTCTGCCGGCTGGCCGACTACTGGGTAGGAGTGCACACCGCACTCTGGGAATTCAAAAGAACAAAGGGACCATCTCTGTTCCTCTCCACCTCATGCACTGCTAGGCCCATGATCGCTGCTGTGATGGCAACTGTCGCCCACCAACTTATGCTGGTGACGATGCTCAGCAGAGCCCAGGGATGTCCAGGGTGCATGCCAGGCTCCCCGTGTGAGTGGGGCCTGGCTCGTGACTGGCCCTCATTTGATGTAACGCTGGCAAGCCTCTGACAGCTGGTGCAGGTCAGAAGCAGCCCCCAGCCTCTGACAGCTGGCCCCTCTGGGAACTGCTCCTACGCAGGGCAGCGTCCACTCGCAGCAGGCGCTTTACCTGAGGAGGAGCTGAGCTGCCTCTTGTTCTCCTGGAGTTGCAGCTCCAGGTTCTTCACCTTCAGCTCAAGCTGCACCTTGTCAGACTCCAGAGACTGGACCACTGAGTGCAATGACTTGGCAGACGCGTTTTCTCCCCTGAGCACTGTGACCTGAAACACAGGTGTGGGCTTGAGCACAGCACTTATCCAAGGCAGGTGGGATCATGCCCCACGTGGCACCCTACCTCATTTCTCAGTTTCTCCAGCTCCGCGTCCTTCTCCGTGAGTAAGGCGCTGGTGACACTGATGGATTTCTGCAGAGAAGCTCTTTCTTCATCTGTGTCTTTTATGTACTTGGATTCTCTAAAAGACCAAAGAGTTAAGAGTTCCAGAAATCAACCACAAGAGCGGTCAGCGTACTACTGTGCTTTAAAAACAGAAAAAAAATCACACTATTAACTTTAGTTAATGTAAAAAAAGAAAAAAAAAGTGTAACAGGGAAGTTTTATGGGGGTGCGACTATTATGCTTACAAAATTTTACTTACTGTGAGGGGAGCAATGTGTACCTATGATAGACATGCCAGAATCTGCATATCATTGTATCCATTCAAATTTAAAGAAACAAGTCATTAATTTGGAAGCTTTAGAATTTTTTTTTTAAATAAAACTTTTGCAAACCCTCCCCCAAAAAATCCCACTAAAATCTAACCCCAAGTTGAATCCTCCTACTTCTTGAATAAATTATTACCAAGCAATTACAACAATTAAAGAAATACACACATGCAAAGCAATTTATGATGTCATGCAGAGCAGTTTTATGCTGGAAGTATCCATTGGCTCTCACTAATTTCAGTAACTTTTCAGCAAGTTCCAAGAATGTGGTTTGAGATAGTATGGGCCGAAACAGAAGCAAAGATCACCACTACGACTCAAAGTGAAGGATTCCTGCTCTTCAACCCTAGAATCTAAAGAGGACATTAAGTTGCTCAGGAAATTAAAGATATTCCTTAAAGGCTAGACAGAAAACGCTGAAATGGTTCCAGGTACAGAAGGCAAGCATGGGAGCCTGGAGGGAGCGAGCTGGGGCCTGGGCTGAGGGGCATCCCTTCAGCACTGGCTATCAGTGTAATGGGGAGGGGGGTTTTAATGAGAGGGAAACCTTTACCTAGGATCCTAGGCAGGGAGTGGGGAAGCCAGCCAAGGGGAAGGAGAAGAAGGGGAGGGGGCCAAGACACAGACTCAACCCAAAAGGGCAGGCTAGTGTGCATTTCTCTGTTTCTAGTCCGAAGTGTCTGGGACAGAAAGATAAGATAGACAGAGGAACTAAGACAGACTGGAGGAGACTAAGGAGCTCCAGCCACTCAAGGCCCGTGGCTTTCTGGATTGGACCCTAGAAGAGAAAAACGACTCCAATGGCACAACTGGGGAATCCACATCAAGCCTAAAGTGTAGTGACATCCCAGTGTTCATTTCAAAGGCACCTCGATCATGTAGGACGCTAACCTTCAGGGAACTGGGTGAGGGGTACAATGGGATTCTGTGCTAAGTTTCAACTCTTCTGTAAATCAAGAATCATTTCAAAATAAAAAAGGTGTTTTAAAAATTACACACAGTATGAAACATGAGAGAAAAAAGACCTTGTGTCACAAAAATAGAAAAAAAATGTCTTAGCTAGCCCTCCGGCCATACTGTCTTTACTCCCCTACCACCTCCGACAGGGCATTAACACAAACAGCTGGTCACTTAATGACAGCAAAGCAGTTGCTCCTGGTTCTAGTGGAAGTGACTGGCTGACAGTGGAGTATGTACTGGTTCCATCCACTTCAAAACCAAGTGGAGGAAGAGGAAACTGAGGCCCAGGTTAGAAATGGCAGCACGTATGTCTGGTTAGTGAGACCCAAGATATCCGGCACACGAATTACAGAATTCTCATGGTTTATGGTGAATTCTACACAAAGATGAAAAGCTGAGTGTTGTGTCTCTCTCATCGTGTGGCTTACAGTGAACATGTCAGCATGGTAAGTAGTAAGAAAAGAATCTGACACTTACAGGGATCTCTTCACGCTCTCTATGTCTGCTGCAAAGGGGCGGGCAGCGTGCTGTGAAATTACTGAGTAACACACATCTCACTACGAAACAGGAAGTTGTGGTGGTGAAAACACAACAGAAATGTAAATGGGAGGAGTGGATGGGTACTTCTGGCCACCTATAAAAAGTAAGCATCTGGTGTTATCTGCAGATTTAATAAATCTCAGGATTCTGAAGTTTCTGTTCAACTTCTTTGACAGTTTACTGAACTGTCAAAATATTTCAATAGCCTCCCTTGTTATAAATCCGCCTTTTCTTTGGAAAATGTCATTTAACATCAGGATTTGGTGGCTGATCAGCAGATTTCAATTCGCCTACCCCCTGGACTCAATTTAGCAGGCTGCCACAGATTCTGTGTGTTTGGGTAGGATAAACATACCACCCATTGGCAGAGGACAAAGGGGATGGGTGTCATTTTCTGGTGCCACCAACCAGAGAGTCTGCTCATGATTCTGGACACACACAGCCTCGAAGCGAAGCTGCTTCCTGACAAGATGGCACACAAGCAGCTTCTTACACATGGTATTCGAACATGACGGCGGAAAGACACCTGCCTGGTGTGTCAATGACATGACAAATAGACCTCAGCAGCTGCCCAGTCGTTTACTGCTGGCTTCTTAGGCTGCTTCTAAGCCCTAATCCCTTTGTGCACACCAAGAGGGGCTAACTAAGCCAGTTATGCCACAATCGAGGAGCTCTGGTGGCACAGTGGTTAAGTCACTCAGCTTCCAACCAAAAGGTCAGCAGTGTAAACCCACCAGCTGCTTTGCAGTAGAAAGAGGAGGCAGTCTTCTTCCATAAAGATTAATAGCCTTAGAAACCGTCTGTCAGTTCCACTGTCTTCTAGGGGCACTGTAAGTTGGAATCGACTCCACTGCAGTGGGTTTGGTTTGGTTTGAATCCCACTTGAGTCACAAATTAGACTGACAAGAACCCCTATGGCCTTATATGATCTGGGTCGTGATTTGTCAGTATTTAAAGATCAAAGGGAAGAGAAGAGTGATAGGAAAGAAGGGCTACAGGGACAGGAAATCCTTCTCTCACCCCAAGCCTCAAGGGATCATATCCCCCAGATTCTTTCATTACTACTTCAATAAGAAATAAATTCGAGTAATGGAATCAATACCTTAAAGTGTTACTGGGCAAGCTTTAAAAATGCAAGATAACAGAAACCAAATGTTAGAAACGTGAAGAGAAATGCAAATACATTAAGGAGAGGTATATTTGCACTGAAGTTCTTTGCTGTGTAGAGATACAAAAAAGGTGTGTGTGTGGGGTGTGTGTGTGTAGTGTGTGTACTGCTGAGACTATTTTACAAAACAAAAGCAAGACACAGAGGGACAAAGGCAGCCAAAAAATATGTACAACAATTTGGTTTACTAAAAATATATGAAGTTTATTTATTATAACGTGGATAGACTTTCTTGAGTCTTACCATTAAAGACACACAGATATAGCAAAGGAAGCAAGAGTAGGAAAGGGAAAAGAGAGGGGTGAAATGAGCATTGATCAGTAGCGCGAGCTCGGAGACAGTCAGACAGTCAGCAACCCACAGTGCGCATCAGGAGCGGAGCTAGCACGTGGCCTCCGCGGAACAGGGAGACAGTCGTGACAACAGCCTTTCATTCCTGGCAGAACTCTGGCATTTCCTCTAACAGAGTTTACTCTGGCTGCCAAAATTCTACGTCTCAGATTTTGATAATGGGGTCCTGTCTTTGGCATTGGAAGGCCTGGAGGGGGAGAAGGCCCAGACAGGTCCCCAGCTCTGCTTCAGGCATGAGGGGCATGAGCAACAAACCTCTCCAGTTCGGTCAACTCCAGCAATTCAAAGGGTTACTGAGCTTTATCTATTAGACATCTTGGAACCTGTTTTGAAGGAAGTCTGCCTAACTCAGGAGACCAGTTTTCCAAAGAATGATTACACTGGTAGACTTAGAAAAACATCTTCACTGCCTGTGGCTTGCTACCCCATGTCTGCAGTTTCCAGAAAGCCACAGCAAATGCAAGAGGAGGCTACTAGTTTGTTAATGATGACTAGTTTCACCCTACCGTCAGAAGCCCTACAAGTAAGTTAACGAAAGGCAATGATGGGGTAACCTGTGCTTTGATATAATGACCGTCTGAGTTCAGTGACTGCACGGCAACAGGGTTGAAGGATCGGGCTGAGTGTTCGTGGGTCACATCCAAGCGCAGCTGCAGACTCGGCCCTCAGTTCTTGCATGAACAACAGTTCAAACACCTTTCTGACCTAAGCACTTTTCAGACTTTTAAACTAAGACACTGTGAATTATTTTTAGTGTTCTCTGCTAGATAAATCTACTTAACCATTACACACATAGACCTATATATAAATCCATTAACAAATTTCAGAAAGCATTTGAGGGCCAAATTATTAGCTAAAACACAGTGACATCCCCATTTCTAAAACAGAAATATTATTTCCATGGAAGTTATTTAACACACGAATAAACAAGCAAAAAAACAGCTCTAAATATGAGAAACTGGGCAGTTTTAAAATGTTTCATTCTGAGAAAAAGAACACCCCCACAAAAAAGAAAGTTCTCTTTATCCACATTTACTGGTCAAAATACCCAAACGTTTCCAGGACTTCAAATGGGCATAGAGGTGGTTGGGAGACAGCCCTTCACCACACCCCAAGGGGCCCCATCTTTCCAAGCCATGAAAAAGGCCATATGCTTCATCTCATTTTGAAAGGCACACAGTTTAATCAAGGTCACACAGTAAGGCCTAAAGAAGCAAAGCACCTTTCTTCAAAAAGTTAATTAAGGAAATAACTGAAAGTCTTGAAAGTAAAGTGAGAGGAGAAGGCACATAAAAAGCTGAAGACCTGTGTCCTTGGCCCAAGTATGTAACATTCTAGGCTTTAGTTTCATTGTTTTTAAATGCAGGGCCACTGTGTATTTCATAGTTGTTTTGAGATCAGATGAATTTGTGAGTTATTCAGTGCTACATAGAGGGAAGGGGATTGGGCCAGTAGCATACACTAGCCCGTTCCTGTATTTCCTTGCTGGATACCAGAAGAACAAGCCCTATTTATTTCTTCACTTGTCCTTGGTAACTGATTACATGGGATTCTTTTCCATTAATACCCTGGGCCTGCCAAGGAACAGAGTTGTGCCTGTATGGAGGAGCCAGGTGTAGCCACGACAGGCCAGTCACACCTCTGATCACCTGCAGAACTTGTGGCTGGGTCTGGTGTGGTCTTAAATATGAATTCCTTTAGAATGCAGCCTATGGCATTCAACTATCTTTGTGGCTAAATAAAGCCCCAAATTCTTAATCTACTGCTAGGCTAGCATGTGGGACACTGGCCAGGTAAAGCATGCAGTCAGGATGTCAGGGAGAACGTTCATGTGTCCTGACAAGCAGGAGCATGGAGGAATTCTTGATTATTCTACTTTTCAAGGTTGTATTTATTTGTTTTTCTTTCTTATAAGAAAGCAAGGATGCTGCTGTTCTGACATGCATCTATTCAGCGGTCTACCACAAACCACTGTGTAGGCTCAGTATACACGACCCCTGCGTGGTATGGCATGCAGCTGTGCAAGGCACAGAATCTCTCTAGACGCAACCTGCACAATTTAGAAGAGCAGACAGTGGCCAGCAGGCTGCAAAAATGATTATTTCTGTGGGCCACTGTCACCCTTACTCAAAAGTACTGGAAAAATAATGCCAGACTTCCGTGAGAATAATCCTATTATGAAAGAATAATAAATAACAAAGGTCTTTCTTAAGAAAATATATAGAAATATTTGAAATGGTGTTAGAACCCACAGGAGCTCTGGTAGCATAGTGCCTAAGGCATTTGACTGCTAACCAGAAGGCTGGCGGTTTGAACAACCCACCAGCCACTCCTCAGAAGGAAGATTCCATAGAGATACTGCCTCAGAAACCCAAGGAGGGGTCGCTATGAGTCGGGTTCAACTCGAGGGCAGTGTATTTGGTTTGGCTGGTTGATTGGTATATAACTGACATCAGTTATATATATATGTGGATCAAAAGCTCTCTGTAGAGCTGTGGTATTTTCACTTACTGAAACTAGAAGATAACATCAATGCAAGAGGAAAATCTGATCTTAGAACACTTCTTAACAAATGCAACTGCACATGGCTTGAAAATCAAACTGTTCTTTTAGTAATCGATAGTAAAAATTTTCCAAATGCTGTTTTCATAATATATCCATTATCAGTACACCAAACTACAACAGTGCAATTTTCTGAATATGAGGTCCCTTGTTTTCTATTATGTCAATGACCATGTCATATTCTGTCTGGCATTTTCCTTATAAAACACACATGGACCCCAATAAACAAAAAAAAAAGGAAGCTCACCTCTTTTTCATTTCTAACAACTGATTATTAAGCACAGATCTCTCTTCTTCCAGCTGGAAAAAAAAAAAAAGACACACAAGGAAATTTAGTTCATCACAAGCTCCCGGAGGGCTGCTTTGTATCCCACATGTCATGTAACCAGGCTCCAGGACAGTGAAAGTAATTGTCTTTCCCTGCAGGCAACCCAAAGGGCCAGGTATCCACTGTGTCACAGGATGTACTACTATCAAATTAGAAATCATTTATGATCTGAATGATACCCCTCCTTTATGGGTCTGGGGTAGCAAATATCAAGCAGCAACCCCTTGACCTGTACTTGGCACATCTTAGGCATCAATAAATGTCTGCTGAATGAGTGTAAACTTTCTTATTAACATTTAGCTTCTTTACTTAAACAGCAGAAGTGTCACCTACTCACAGACAGCTGAGAACAGGTCACTTAACCTATATGGGCCTGATTTTACTCACCTATTAGCTCAAATACTTATTGAATAGTGTGATGGCTAATGTTACATGTCAGCTTGGCTAAGCTATGATTTTCAGTGGTTTGGCTGATAGAGAGTCATCAACCACCTTCCATGTTGTGATCTGATATGAAGAGCCAATCAGTTGAAAGGGGCATTTTCTTAGGGGTGTGGCCTACATACAGTATATAAATGGATGTTCTGGCAGAGCTCACTCTTTCTTGACCCTGCATTCTTCTCATTGTCTGACCTCCAGTTCTTGGGACGTAAGCCTGTAGAAGCCTCCGACCTGCTGCTTCATCTGCAGATTTTGGTTCACCAGCCCCTGCCACCATATGAACCAGCAGAGGCCTTCAGCCTGTTGCCTGACCCATGGATTTGGAACTTGCCAGCCCCTACAACTGCATGAGCCATTTCCTTGAAGTAAATTTCCCCCCCAGCCCTTGTGTATATATACATACATACATATACATATTTTTTTCCCCCACTGATTTTGCTCCCCTAGAAAACCCAGACTAAGACAAATGACTACTATTTTCCAGGTACTTGTTTCTTATCTTAAAAAAAAAGAAGTAACACACCATATAACAAAGATGAACTTGGAGGACATTGTGCCAAGTGAAATAAATCAATCACAGAAGGACAAATATTATATTAGTTCACTGTTGTAAAAAGTCAAAGAAAGGTTTATATATGGAAGGAAACTTCGTTGGTTACCAGGGGTTGGAGGGGAGGGGAGGGGAAATTCCTAGACAGGTTTAAAAATACACACACACACACGCACACATATTACATACATATGTATTAGTATTAGTGGTTACCAGGAGTAGGAAGGAGGGAGAGGGAAAGGAGAATCTTTTCTTTGTGGGGCATTTAGTTTATGGTGATGGTAGTGGAACTTTTTTTAAAAAAAAAGACAGCAATAACGGTGGCATTACATGAAAAATGTCTTCAATATCCTTGACCTGTTAATGTATAAGTTGCCATGCTGGTGAATGTCTTGGTGTGTACGTTTTCAAAATAATTAAAAAAAAAAAATGAAGTTGCAAAAGAATTTCCAGTGGCCCTATGGTTCTAAAATTCTATTATCCCATGAAGGATTAAATAAATAAAAAGATTCAGTTAGTTGATGAGAAATGACTCATCTCTACCTGCAACCCACAGCACACAGAGTTTAACGAAATAACTATTTTATTGTTTTTGTGGGAGCTCTGGTGGCGTAGTGCCTAAGGTATCTGACTGCTAACCAGAAGGCGGGCGGTTCAAACCCACCAGCCACTCCTCTCAGAAGGAAGGTTGGGCAATCTACTTCCATAGTGATACTGCCTTAGAAACAGTATCACTATGGAAACAGGGGTCGCTATGAGTCGGATCCAACTCAACGGCAATAAGTTTGATTTGGTTTGTTTTACTGTTTTTGTAAATCAAGGGATAACACCAAAGACTGTATAAAGGCTTCCAAGTTCCAGAATTAAGCTCCCCGCTCACTGCGTCATTACAGTCCCATTACTAATTATGCAGCAGTTATATATGTGTTTGTCATAAGGCTTTGTACTTTCAAACATTCTTAAATGTACACAGACACATATGTTTGGAACATAAACATACATTTATCATGACATCTAGAGAAGCTAACGTAGAGTTTTTCTCACTGTAGACTCTGCTTTCCAGGTCCATTAAGATAGATGCTTGTGCCATGTGAGTAATTCACCGAAATATTTAGAAATCTTTAAAGAGGGAAAGGAAGCAAAAGGAGTGGGAGGCAAACTTTACAAAATGAACCGAGAGAGAGAGAACATCTGGAGAACAGGACGTGGGGATGAGAGGGGCTTCCATTTGTTCCTTTATGTCCTTTTATGTGGTTTATACTTATTTTTTTAAGCAAGGTTTTAAAAAAATGTTTTACTTTTAGAATTAAAAAAAAATTAAACAAAAGGAAAATCAGATTGAGAAGTGTCTGCAACGAAATCTCCGAATGAATAAAGGACATGGCAGAGGAAATGCAAGTTGTTCATGCACATGTGAAAAGCCATCCCACCGCTGCAGAATACAGCAACACACATGCTCTCCCTCTCTCGGAAGATCCGTTGCTCCTGCATCTCAGAGGCTAACCGGTGCACACTGATTCCCAGCTGGAAACAGTTTCTTTCTTCCCTGGGTCCAGGACCCAAGCCAGAATACCACGTTACATTTGGCATCACATCTCTTTAATCTGAGTAATTCTGTCTCCACTCTTTGTATCCTGTGTTCCTGACATTTTTGAGGAGCACAGGCCAGTTACTCTGAAGAATGTCTGTTAGTCTGGAGTCATCTGATTTTGCCATGTGCTTTGAGTCAGATTGTGCCCTTTTGGCAGGAACACCACAGAAGCCATGTCATCGTACATGATGTCAGGAGGCAGACATTGCTGATTTGTTCCATTTCTGGTGCTGTCAACTTTGATTAGTTGGTTAAGGAAGTATCTTCCATGTTTCTTCCATTGTAGAGTTACCATTTTTTGCCTTTGTAATTAACATGTATTTTGTACTTTGAAACTATGTGAATATCCTGTCCCTCAACAAATTTCAAACACTGGTTTCAGCCCTGTTGATTCTTGACTGAGTAACTTGTTGTCAGGAAGTGTGGTGATTTCCTACTTCCATCATTCTGTCTGTTTATCAGTTGGCACCAACTGTAAGGCTGGGCTTTTGTCTTCTTCCATTTATTTATTGATACCTGCACAGACTCATGGTTTCCTACTTTGCTCAGTAGGCTACAATCCATTACCATCATTATTCTTTTGATGTTCAGACTGTCCCAGATTTGGCCAGTGAACGTCCCTTCAGGATGGCTTGGCTGTTCTTAGGACAGCTCCCCAGTATTCTTTGAGCACTTCCTTGCTTTCCGGAACAAGGTGCTCCAGACTCTCTTACACTCTCTCTCCATTCCACCCCTGGAATCAGCCGTTCTCTAAGAAACCCTGGTTCCTTTTGGTGGAGAAGAATACTTAGAAACTAAGATTTGGCTGCTAGATGTGCTCATTGTCAATGGAATGTCATCGCTTTTAAACCCCTTCAATGGGATGCATCAAAATTTTAAACATCTGCTCTTCAAAAGACATTGTTAAGAAAGTGTGAAGACAAACCACAGACTGGGAGAAAACATTAGCAAAACATGTATGTGATAAAGTACCTGTATTCAGAACATACTAAGAACTTTCACAACTCATAAGACCAACACCATTTTTTTTTTTTTAATGGGAGAAATCTGAACAGATACTTTACCAAAGAAGAAATCCAAATGGCTAATAAGCACATAAAAAGATGCTCTGTATCATTAGCCATCAGAGAAATGCAAACTAAAATCACATTGAGATATGGCTCCAAGTCCCACTAAGAGGCACTCAAGAGTCTACCCAATGGCCCCGGAGTCGACACATGAATAAAATGCGTAACATTAAAAAGACAACAGTACTAAGTGCTGGCAAGTACTTGGAGCAGCTGAGAATCTCAAACCAGGGTGGTGGGAATGTGAAATGGGAATCATTTGGAAAATCGCTGAGCATGCACCTACCCACAGATACAGAGTCTAGACTTCCAGGTGCTCACCCACAACCAAGGAGAGCACACACCCAGGCCTGTTCATGAAGGTTCTTGGCAGCTCGCCAACAGCCAGAACCACCCACAGGTGCAGGGGGATACACACACAGTGACAGAACTACACATGTCCAGTCAGAGCGGTTGCCATCAAGTCGAATCTGACTCCTGGTGACCTCATGTGTTAGAGCACAACTGTGCTCCGTGGGCCTTTCCATGGCTGAGTTTTTGGAAGGACATCACCAGGCCTGTCTTCAGAGGTGCCACTGGGTGGGCTCGAACCTCCAACCTTTCGGTTAACAGTTCAGCAGCATTTATCACCTGCACCACTTAGGGACTCCCCTGATTCTGCAGACTGGGTAAAACCACTTTAATAAGTATCTTCAGAGAGGAGCAGCAATATTCGCTTCTGTTTTGTCCATGCTGTCTCCTCTACTGAACACTGTGGGGCACACAATAGGCACTCAATAATGTGCTGAGTGGGTAACCGAGTCCTGTGGTCAGTAAACTAGTGTCTCAGTGGGGATGAGCCATCAGTAGCACTTAGAAGCCGGGTTCTTCCAGTGCACAGCTGTGTCTCAGGCATTGTCTAGTCCAGTCACTGCAAAGCCAAGTCTTCTCTCACTCACTCCCCGCCGCACGGCTCACATCTGGGCTATTTCCGTCTCTTCTCTAAGAAGCCTTCTGAGGTCCAAAATAGCAGCTCTCCCCTGACAGCACAGGACACACTCCTGTGTCTAAGGCTTTCTAGTTACCTCCTACACACAGACAGACAGACTTCTGCTCCAGGAAAAGGCAAAGGTAGTGGGGGTGGAGAAGGAGTCTGTCATCTTTGTAGCAAAGCCCTTCCAGAGGAAAAAGAAGGAATGAAGAGTGGACACAGTGTGTGTTGTCGAGATCCCTTCAGGGGAGCCCTTGCTGCCCAGTTGTTGGCCCCTTTAGGAACGGCCTTCAACATACACAGCCCCCTTCCCAGGGTCACGCCCCTTCCCAGGGTGGATCATACCCAAAGAC